GTTGGTTAGGTTAGGTTAAGATAGGTTAGGTTAGGTAAGGTTGGTTAGGTTAGCTTAGGTTAGGTAAGGTTGGTTAGGTTCAGTCATATATCTACGTTAGTTTTAACTCAAATTAAAAAAAAAAATAACTCATACATAATGAAATGGATAGCTTTATCATTTCATAAGAAAATATTTAGAAAAATAAATTCAGGAAAACTCTGCTTATTAGGCAAATCGGGCTTTGCATAGTAGGCCAAATAGTGCATTCCGGCTACTAGGTACAACATATATTATATACGCACGCATAGCGTTTCGGGTCATGTCCTTAATCCTAATTTTTCCCCTGAATACGACCCGCCAAATCGTTTAACAACCAGATACCCATTTACTGCTGGGTGAACAGAGGCTACAGGCTTCCTGTCCCCAACAGTAGACACTGAATACGCTCAGACACCGGAGCATACCTTAATATGAGGCTCCAAGTGGCTCTTCAAACACTTAAAACTTGAAAAACAGAAAACAGGAATACCATAACATAACATGGCTGCTGCATAGAGCAAGGGGGGGGGGGGCGTTAGAGCCATGGGGACCACCCCACATAGAGCAAGGGGGGGGGGTGTTAAAGCCATGGGGACCACCCCACATAGAGCAAGGGGGGGTGTTAGAGCCATGGGGACCACCCCACATAGAGCAAGGGGGGGGTGTTAGAGCCATGGGGACCACCCCACATAGAGCAAGGGGGGGGGGGTTAGAGCCATGGGGACCACCCCACATAGAGCAAGGGGGGGTGTTAGAGCCATGGGGACCACCCCACATAGAGCAAGGGGGGGGGGTGTTAGAGCCATGGGGACCACCCCACATAGAGCAAGGGGGGGGGGGTGTTAGAGCCATGGGGACCACCCCACATAGAGCAAGGGGGGGCGTTAGAGCCATGGGGACCACCCCACATAGAGCAAGGGGGGGTGTTAGAGCCATGGGGACCACCCCACATAGAGCAAGGGGGGGGGGTGTTAGAGCCATGGGGACCACCCCACATAGAGCAAGGGGGGGCGTTAGAGCCATGGGGACCACCCCACATAGAGCAAGGGGGGGGTTAGAGCCATGGGGACCACCCCACATAGAGCAAGGGGGGGGGGGTGTTAGAGCCATGGGGACCACCCCACATAGAGCAAGGGGGGGGGTGTTAGAGCCATGGGGACCACCCCACATAGAGCAAGGGGGGGGGTGGTAGAGCCATGGGCACCACCCCACATAGAGCAAGGGGGGGGGTGTTAGAGCCATGGGGACCACCCCACATAGAGCAAGGGGGGGGGGGGTGTTAGAGCCATGGGGACCACCCCACATAGAGCAAGGGGGGGGGGGGGCGTTAGAGCCATGGGGACCACCCCACATAGAGCAAGGGGGGGGGGTGTTAGAGCCATGGGGACCACCCCACATAGAGCAAGGGGGGGGGGCGTAAGAGCCATGGGGACCACCCCACATAGAGCAAGGGGGGGGGGTGTTAGAGCCATGGGGACCACCCCACATAGAGCAAGGGGGGGGGGGTGTTAGAGCCATGGGGACCACCCCACATAGAGCAAGGGGGGGGGCGTTAGAGCCATGGGGACCACCCCACATAGAGCAAGGGGGGGGGGTGTTAGAGCCATGGGGACCATCCCACATAGAGCAAGAGGGGGGGGCGTTAGAGCCATGGGGACCACCCCACATAGAGCAAGGGGGGGGGCGTTAGAGCCATGGGGACCACCCCACATAGAGCAAGGGGGGGGGGGTGTTAGAGCCATGGGGACCATCCCACATAGAGCAAGGGGGGGGGTGTTAGAGCCATGGGGACCACCCCACATAGAGCAAGGGGGGGGGGTGTTAGAGCCATGGGGACCACCCCACATAGAGCAAGGGGGGGGGGGGTGTTAGAGCCATGGGGACCACCCCACATAGAGCAAGGGGGGGGGGGCGTTAGAGCCATGGGGACCACCCCACATAGAGCAAGGGGGGGGGGCGTTAGAGCCATGGGGACCACCCCACATAGAGCAAGGGGGGGGGGTGTTAGAGCCATGGGGACCACCCCACATAGAGCAAGGGGGGGTGTTAGAGCCATGGGGACCACCCCACATAGAGCAAGGGGGGGGGGGGTGTTAGAGCCATGGGGACCACCCCACATAGAGCAAGGGGGGGCGTTAGAGCCATGGGGACCACCCCACATAGAGCAAGGGGGGGGGGGTGTTAGAGCCATGGGGACCACCCCACATAGAGCAAGGGGGGGGTGTTAGAGCCATGGGGACCACCCCACATAGAGCAAGGGGGGGGGGGGTGGTAGAGCCATGGGCACCACCCCACATAGAGCAAGGGGGGGTGTTAGAGCCATGGGGACCACCCCACATAGAGCAAGGGGGGGGGTGTTAGAGCCATGAGAACCACCCCACATAGAGCAAGGGGGGGGGTGTTAGAGCCATGAGAACCACCCCACATAGAGCAAGGGGGGGGGGTGTTAGAGCCATGAGAACCACCCCACATAGAGCAAGGGGGGGGGGTGTTAGAGCCATGAGAACCACCCCACATAGAGCAAGGGGGGGGGGTGTTAGAGCCATGAGAACCACCCCACATAGAGCAAGGGGGGGGGGGGTGTTAGAGCCATGGGGACCACCCCACATAGAGCAAGGGGGGGGGGTGTTAGAGCCATGGGGACCACCCCACATAGAGCAAGGGGGGGTGTTAGAGCCATGGGGACCACCCCACATAGAGCAAGGGGGGGGGCGTTAGAGCCATGGGGACCACCCCACATAGAGCAAGGGGGGGGGGTGTTAGAGCCATGGGGACCACCCCACATAGAGCAAGGGGGGGGGGGTGTTAGAGCCATGGGGACCACCCCACATAGAGCAAGGGGGGGTGTTAGAGCCATGGGGACCACCCCACATAGAGCAAGGGGGGGGGGGTGTTAGAGCCATGGGGACCACCCCACATAGAGCAAGGGGGGGTGTTAGAGCCATGGGGACCACCCCACATAGAGCAAGGGGGGGTGTTAGAGCCATGGGGACCACCCCACATAGAGCAAGGGGGGGGGGGTGTTAGAGCCATGGGGACCACCCCACATAGAGCAAGGGGGGGCGTTAGAGCCATGGGGACCACCCCACATAGAGCAAGGGGGGGGGGGGGTGTTAGAGCCATGGGGACCACCCCACATAGAGCAAGGGGGGGGGTGTTAGAGCCATGGGGACCACCCCACATAGAGCAAGGGGGGGGGGTGGTAGAGCCATGGGCACCACCCCACATAGAGCAAGGGGGGGTGTTAGAGCCATGGGGACCACCCCACATAGAGCAAGGGGGGGGGGTGTTAGAGCCATGAGAACCACCCCACATAGAGCAAGGGGGGGGGGTGTTAGAGCCATGAGAACCACCCCACATAGAGCAAGGGGGGGGGGTGTTAGAGCCATGAGAACCACCCCACATAGAGCAAGGGGGGGGGGTGTTAGAGCCATGAGAACCACCCCACATAGAGCAAGGGGGGGGGGGTGTTAGAGCCATGAGAACCACCCCACATAGAGCAAGGGGGGGGGTGTTAGAGCCATGGGGACCACCCCACATAGAGCAAGGGGGGGGGGGTGTTAGAGCCATGGGGACCACCCCACATAGAGCAAGGGGGGTGTTAGAGCCATGGGGACCACCCCACATAGAGCAAGGGGGGGGCGTTAGAGCCATGGGGACCACCCCACATAGAGCAAGGGGGGGGGGGTGTTAGAGCCATGGGGACCACCCCACATAGAGCAGGGGGGGGGGGGGTGTTAGAGCCATGGGGACCACCCCACATAGAGCAAGGGGGGGTGTTAGAGCCATGGGGACCACCCCACATAGAGCAAGGGGGGGGGGGTGTTAGAGCCATGGGGACCACCCCACATAGAGCAAGGGGGGGTGTTAGAGCCATGGGGACCACCCCACATAGAGCAAGGGGGGGGGTGTTAGAGCCATGGGGACCACCCCACATAGAGCAAGGGGGGGTGGTGGTAGAGCCATGGGCACCACCCCACATAGAGCAAGGGGGGGGGTGTTAGAGCCATGGGGACCACCCCACATAGAGCAAGGGGGGGGTGGTAGAGCCATGGGGACCACCCCACATAGAGCAAGGGGGGGGTTAGAGCCATGGGGACCACCCCACATAGAGCAGGGGGGGGTGTTAGAGCCATGGGGACCACCCCACATAGAGCAAGGGGGGGGGGTGTTAGAGCCATGGGGACCACCCCACATAGAGCAAGAGGGGGGGGGTGTTAGAGCCATGGGGACCACCCCACATAGAGCAAGGGGGGGGTGTTAGAGCCATGGGGACCACCCCACATAGAGCAAGGGGGGGGGGCGTTAGAGCCATGAGAACCACCCCACATAGAGCAAGGGGGGTGTAAGAGCCATGGGGGACCACCCCATAGAGACATTACCCGGTGTGGTAATACAGCCAACATAAGACTATCTGTAAGAGCCGTGATAAGGACTCGAACCTATGCTCTGGGTACCGCCAAGCACACGCCTCAGACCACCAAGCCACGACATGGTCAAAAGTACTGCAACCTGGGATTCTTCTGAAGCCACGAAGGTTTGTGACGGCTTCCACTGACGCCAAACCAATGTGCCTAATGTGTACGCAGAAAAGATAGCTACATGTGCTCGCAGCCAACTTGATATCGACCTACACACAACCATTACCCAACCTCTGCTCTTGAAGCAACACTAAAACAGAAGTAAATACATACGAAATTAAATGATATCGTTTTCTGCTCTTTTAAGAGTAAAGTTATGACGTTACACCCAGAAATCACAATAGCTTGATGCATCAAATGAACAAATCCACAAGGGCCGCGACGAGGGTTCGAACCTACGTCCAGGATGATCCCAGACGCTGCCTTAATCGAATGAGCTACGACATGGTAAAAGAATTGCAACCGGCAACCCTCGTCACGGCTCTTGTGGATTTGTTCATAAGTTGTGAGGTGTTGAGAAGGTTAGAGTGTAGGCACGCGCGTCTCCACCTGAGTTACCAGTGTAGGCACGCGCGTCTCCGCCTGAGTTACCAGTGTAGGCACGCGCGTCTCCACCTGAGTTACCAGTGTAGGCACGCGCGTCTCCGCCTGAGTTACCAGTGTAGGCACGCGCGTCTCCACCTGAGTTACCAGTGTAGGCACGCGCGTCTCCGCCTGAGTTACCAGTGTAGGCACGCGCGTCTCCACCTGAGTTACCAGTGTAGGCACGCGCGTCTCCGCCTGAGTTACCAGTGTAGGCACGCGCGTCTCCGCCTGAGTTACCAGTGTAGGCACGCGCGTCTCCACCTGAGTTACCAGTGTAGGCACGCGCGTCTCCGCCTGAGTTACCAGTGTAGGCACGCGCGTCTCCGCCTGAGTTACCAGTGTAGGCACGCGCGTCTCCGCCTGAGTTACCAGTGTAGGCACGCGCGTCTCCGCCTGAGTTACCAGTGTAGGCACGCGCGTCTCCACCTGAGTTACCAGTGTAGGCACGCGCGTCTCCGCCTGAGTTACCAGTGTAGGCACGCGCGTCTCCGCCTGAGTTACCAGTGTAGGCACGCGCGTCTCCGCCTGAGTTACCAGTGTAGGCACGCGCGTCTCCGCCTGAGTTACCAGTGTAGGCACGCGCGTCTCCGCCTGAGTTACCAGTGTAGGCACGCGCGTCTCCACCTGAGTTACCAGTGTAGGCACGCGCGTCTCCGCCTGAGTTACCAGTGTAGGCACGCGCGTCTCCGCCTGAGTTACCAGTGTAGGCACGCGCGTCTCCGCCTGAGTTACCAGTGTAGGCACGCGCGTCTCCACCTGAGTTACCAGTGTAGGCACGCGCGTCTCCGCCTGAGTTACCAGTGTAGGCACGCGCGTCTCCGCCTGAGTTACCAGTGTAGGCACGCGCGTCTCCGCCTGAGTTACCAGTGTAGGCACGCGCGTCTCCGCCTGAGTTACCAGTGTAGGCACGCGCGTCTCCGCCTGAGTTACCAGTGTAGGCACGCGCGTCTCCGCCTGAGTTACCAGTGTAGGCACGCGCGTCTCCGCCTGAGTTACCAGTGTAGGCACGCGCGTCTCCGCCTGAGTTACCAGTGTAGGCACGGGCGTCTCCGCCTGAGTTACCAGTGTAGGCACGCGCGTCTCCGCCTGAGTTACCAGTGTAGGCACGCGCGTCTCCGCCTGAGTTACCAGTGTAGGCACGCGCGTCTCCGCCTGAGTTACCAGTGTAGGCACGCGCGTCTCCGCCTGAGTTACCAGTGTAGGCACGCGCGTCTCCGCCTGAGTTACCAGTGTAGGCACGCGCGTCTCCGCCTGAGTTACCAGTGTAGGCACGCGCGTCTCCGCCTGAGTTACCAGTGTAGGCACGCGCGTCTCCGCCTGAGTTACCAATGTAGGCACGCGCGTCTCCGCCTGAGTTACCAGTGTAGGCACGCGCGTCTCCGCCTGAGTTACCAGTGTAGGCACGCGCGTCTCCGCCTGAGTTACCAGTGTAGGCACGCGCGTCTCCGCCTGAGTTACCAGTGTAGGCACGCGCGTCTCCGCCTGAGTTACCAGTGTAGGCACGCGCGTCTCCGCCTGAGTTACCAGTGTAGGCACGCGCGTCTCCGCCTGAGTTACCAGTGTAGGCACGCGCGTCTCCGCCTGAGTTACCAGTGTAGGCACGCGCGTCTCCGCCTGAGTTACCAGTGTAGGCACGCGCGTCTCCGCCTGAGTTACCAGTGTAGGCACGCGCGTCTCCGCCTGAGTTACCAGTGTAGGCACGCGCGTCTCCGCCTGAGTTACCAGTGTAGGCACGCGCGTCTCCGCCTGAGTTACCAGTGTAGGCACGCGCGTCTCCGCCTGAGTTACCAGTGTAGGCACGCGCGTCTCCGCCTGAGTTACCAGTGTAGGCACGCGCGTCTCCGCCTGAGTTACCAGTGTAGGCACGCGCGTCTCCGCCTGAGTTACCAGTGTAGGCACGCGCGTCTCCGCCTGAGTTACCAGTGTAGGCACGCGCGTCTCCGCCTGAGTTACCAGTGTAGGCACGCGCGTCTCCGCCTGAGTTACCAGTGTAGGCACGCGCGTCTCCGCCTGAGTTACCAGTGTAGGCACGCGCGTCTCCGCCTGAGTTACCAGTGTAGGCACGCGCGTCTCCGCCTGAGTTACCAGTGTAGGCACGCGCGTCTCCGCCTGAGTTACCAGTGTAGGCACGCGCGTCTCCGCCTGAGTTACCAGTGTAGGCACGCGCGTCTCCGCCTGAGTTACCAGTGTAGGCACGCGCGTGCCCCGAGGGGCGAGTTTATTGGGCAGCGCCACTCATCCTGTGAGTGGACACACACCGCCATAGTGACAGTATTGGGCAGCGCCACTCATCCTGTGAGTGGACACACCGCCATAGTGACAGTATTGGGCAGCGCCACTCATCCTGTGAGTGGACACACACGCCATAGTGACAGTATTGGGCAGCGCCACTCATCCTGTGAGTGGACATACCGCCATAGTGACAGTATTGGGCAGCGCCACTCATCCTGTGAGTGGACACACCGCCATAGTGACAGTATTGGGCAGCGCCACTCATCCTGTGAGTGGACACACCGCCATAGTGACAGTATTGGGCAGCGCCACTCATCCTGTGAGTGGACATACCGCCATAGTGACAGTATTGGGCAGCGCCACTCATCATGTGAGTGGACACACCGCCATAGTGACAGTATTGGGCAGCGCCACTCATCCTGTGAGTGGACACACCGCCATAGTGACAGTATTGGGCAGCGCCACTCATCCTGTGATTGGACATACCACCATAGTGACAGTATTGGGCAGCGCCACTCATCCTGTGAGTGGACACACACCGCCATAGTGACAGTATTGGGCAGCGCCACTCATCCTATGAGTGGACACACTGCCATAGTGACAGTATTGGGCAGCGCCACTCATCCTGTGAATGGACACACCGCCATAGTGACAGTATTGGGCAGCGCCACTCATCCTGTGAGTGGACACACCGCCATAGTGACAGTATTGGGCAGCGCCACTCATCCTGTGAGTGGACATACCGCCATAGTGACAGTATTGGGCAGCGCCACTCATCCTGTGAGTGGACACACCGCCATAGTGACAGTATTGGGCAGCGCCACTCATCCTGTGAGTGGACACACCGCCATAGTGACAGTATTGGGCAGCGCCACTCATCCTGTGAGTGGACATACCGCCATAGTGACAGTATTGGGCAGCGCCACTCATCCTTGTGAGTGGACACACCGCCATAGTGACAGTATTGGGCAGCGCCACTCATCCTGTGAGTGGACACACCGCCATAGTGACAGTATTGGGCAGCGCCACTCATCCTGTGAGTGGACATACCGCCATAGTGACAGTATTGGGCAGCGCCACTCATCCTGTGAGTGGACACACACCGATAGTGACCGTATTGGGCAGCGCCACTCATCCTGTGAGTGGACACACCGCCATAGTGACAGTATTGGGCAGCGCCACTCATCCTGTGAGTGGACACACCGCCATAGTGACAGTATTGGGCAGCGCCACTCATCCTGTGAGTGGACACACCGCCATAGTGACAGTATTGGGCAGCGCCACTCATCCTGTGAGTGGACATACCGCCATAGTGACAGTATTGGGCAGCGCCACTCATCCTGTGAGTGGACACACCGCCATAGTGACAGTATTGGGCAGCGCCACTCATCCTGTGAGTGGACACACCGCCATAGTGACAGTATTGGGCAGCGCCACTCATCCTGTGAGTGGACACACCGCCATAGTGACAGTATTGGGCAGCGCCACTCATCCTGTGAGTGGACACACCGCCATAGTGACAGTATTGGGCAGCGCCACTCATCCTGTGAGTGGACATACCGCCATAGTGACAGTATTGGGCAGCGCCACTCATCCTGTGAGTGGACACACCGCCATAGTGACAGTATTGGGCAGCGCCACTCATCCTGTGAGTGGACACACCGCCATAGTGACAGTATTGGGCAGCGTCACTCATCCTGTGAGTGGACACACCGCCATAGTGACAGTATTGGGCAGCGCCACTCATCCTGTGAGTGGACACACCGCCATAGTGACAGTAATGGGCAGCGCCACTCATCCTGTGAGTGGACACACCGCCATAGTGACAGTATTGGGCAGCGCCACTCATCCTGTGAGTGGACACACCGCCATAGTGACAGTATTGGGCAGCGCCACTCATCTTGTGAGTGGACACACCGCCATAGTGACAGTATTGGGCAGCGCCACTCATCCTGTGAGTGGACACACCGCCATAGTGACAGTATTGGGCAGCGTCACTCATCCTGTGAGTGGACACACCGCCATAGTGACAGTATTGGGCAGCGTCACTCATCCTGTGAGTGGACATACCGCCATAGTGACAGTATTGGGCAGCGCCACTCATCTTGTGAGTGGACACACCGCCATAGTGACAGTATTGGGCAGCGTCACTCATCCTGTGAGTGGACACACCGCCATAGTGACAGTATTGGGCAGCGCCACTCATCCTGTGAGTGGACACACACCGCCATAGTGACAGTATTGGGCAGCGCCACTCATCCTGTGAGTGGACACACCGCCATAGTGACAGTATTGGGCAGCGCCACTCATCTTGTGAGTGGACACACCGCCATAGTGACAGTATTGGGCAGCGCCACTCATCCTGTGAGTGGACACACCGCCATAGTGACAGTATTGGGCAGCGTCACTCATCCTGTGAGTGGACATACCGCCATAGTGACAGTATTGGGCAGCGCCACTCATCCTGTGAGTGGACACACCGCCATAGTGACAGTATTGGGCAGCGCCACTCATCCTGTGAGTGGACACACCGCCATAGTGACAGTATTGGGCAGCGCCACCCATCCTGTGAGTGGACACACCGCCATAGTGACAGTATTGGGCAGCGCCACTCATCCTGTGAGTGGACACACCGCCATAGTGACATGTACAACACTCCCCAATAGGAAGAAAACCCGCTGGGTTGTTCATCCTATCACTTGTACCCAGACACAACAAGTCCCAGCTGTGTCAAGTGATCAGCTCCTCAAACAAGAAGATTAACATCTATCGACCCTTATACTTTTTAAGGGAATATTATTCTATTTACCTAAGTTCATGAAGTTCATAGCTAAGTTGGCAACTCGTCTTCCTAATAGAACGTCACATTTTGACGTATACTTTACCTAAAGCAATTGTCGTACTAGAAAATGGAAGCGGCTGCCGAAAGTGACGTACTGTTCCGTTTTCTGTTTTGGGTCCTCTGGTAGATTAGGATACGGACACTTTAGTACGACAGTTTCTTGACGTTGGGAGAAACCCTTAGGAGGACGGGCGAAGTAGGATACCTTACCTTATGGAGGTTCCGGACCAATAAAGGCCTGTTCCGGACCAATAAAGGCCTGGTCCAGGCCCCGCGGACCGGTCCAGGCCTCCATTGGTCGTCTGGTCAACCAGGCTGTTGGACCAGACGACCAGGATAGATACCATATATAAATATCAACCAGGACAGATATTACTGTAGTATTATTTATAGAGTGATAAAGAGCTTGACAGCGTAACTGCCAGTAGAGTGCACGGCGGCGTTAGACGGGCAAGAGATGTGGCAGCGTTGTCCCAACAATTAATTCCTGGGCTCCTAACTTCCCGCTCTTGAGAGTCAGTTGCGTGCTGGCGAGCGGCGAGGACGGATGTGTTCGCTCTGTACTCTTGTTACATTACACTAGGCTCTTGTCTACTTCTTAAATATCATAGTCCACCAGATTATTATTATTATTGTTGAGAAAATTCCCAGGAACCGAGAAGACGATTCGAACCTATGCACTTGGGTTTCTCTGTGAATTAATATTATTCATAAGTGTAAGTTGTGTTTAACAGTAATTATTTTATATTTGTGTGTAGCGATTATCCCTGGGTAATTATTTACTTGTGTTCTGTTAAGTGGACTTATGTATAAGGGGAAGAATGGAGTAAAGTGACTTTTTTAACGTTTTTAGTCACTTTAAAAGAAAAAACAATTTTTTTATTATAATAATTATTGTTATCGTAGTTAATTGAAACCTAAACTTAATATTCAGATGTATATCTGAATTTGGGGGGGAGGGGGCCGGGCATTTAGGTAGTTAGGACTGTATTAAGGTGAGACTTGATAACCACGACCAACGACAGGGCCGCCCATTAGTGTTGACAACAGCGACCAGTAGTAGGCTGGGATGACCTTACTAGTCACAGGTACCCGAGGGTAGCGACCACTCCCCAATCCTGGGAATCTCTAAATCTCTAAAACGCGGACCAAATAGTACGCTCTGACCCTTATAATAGTAAGTAGAAAGTTAGGTACAATAGTATGACTGACAATTACACCCCCACCCCACCCATCTGAAGATATAGGAAGTGACAACGTCTCGAGATGTGATGACACATTCACCTGGGAGATGTGATGACACATTCACCTGGGAGATGTGATGACACATTCACCTGGGAGATGTGATGACACATTCACCTGGGAGATGTGATGACACATTCACCTGGGAGATGTGATGACACATTCACCTGGGAGATGTGATGACACATTCACCTGGGAGATGTGATGACACATTCACCTGGGAGATGTGATGACACATTCACCTGGGAGATGTGATGACACATTCACCTGGGAGATGTGATGACACATTCACCTGGGAGATGTGATGACACATTCACCTGGGAGATGTGATGACACATTCACCTGGGAGATGTGATGACACATTCACCTGGGAGATGTGATGACACATTCACCTGGGAGATGTGATGACACATTCACCTGGGAGATGTGATGACACATTCACCTGGGAGATGTGATGACACATTCACCTGGGAGATGTGATGACACATTCACCTGGGAGATGTGATGACACATTCACCTGGGAGATGTGATGACACATTCACCTGGGAGATGTGATGACACATTCACCTGGGAGATGTGATGACACATTCACCTGGGAGATGTGATGACACATTCACCTGGGAGATGTGATGACACATTCACCTGGGAGATGTGATGACACATTCACCTGGGAGATGTGATGACACATTCACCTGGGAGATGTGATGACACATTCACCTGGGAGATGTGATGACACATTCACCTGGGAGATGTGATGACACATTCACCTGGGAGATGTGATGACACATTCACCTGGGAGATGTGATGACACATTCACCTGGGAGAT